GAGTAACGAAATAGGAGAACGACTATCCGCGCAATATACACACACCCGCCTCCCCCCCCCACCCCCACACACACACAGCGCAGCTCGCCTCGAATCTCTGGCTTGTCGCCGCCTGTTGCTGTAGTTCACGGATGCCTGCCGTGCGACGTTTCCGGTAAGGCGGTGATTTTATTTCAACCGTCGCGCCGGAATCGATTGGATCCGTCACGACCGATCGGGAGAGAGGAGGGAAACGCACCCCCCTAGTAAATTCCTTCTTTTTCGCCGTTTACTCGCCCCGTCGATACGTTTTGCGCGCAATTTCATTTCTCCGCGCGATCGAAGATCCTTCTTTCTGCCTCCCCCCTCCTCTCTCATTGAGGGGGAGGGGGGGCAATAGCGCGATGTATATTTTTAAGCGCGTCTTAAAATGCACGGGGAGAAACGACGCACTCGCACGAAATGCGAATTTAAACGCAGCTCCATCGGAGCTTCGTGCCGCGCGCTATCAGGTTTACTTAGATCAATGGTGGATTAACGAGCTATTGCCCAACCGGAGTAGTTCGCTCGAGACTCCTAGGCGCTTGCCTTGGGCAATTAATTTCATGGCTATCTTAGCTTAACTCGAAGCGAACTGTAAACTACTGTTGAGCCCGTTGAGAGCCCGGTGAGAGAAAAAATAAACAACCGACGGTAATCACGGAGTTAATCGCGGGGAAGGGTCCGTGGGGCGGAGAACGACGGGGTTGGACGAGAGTAAATAGCGTATCTCTTTCACGAGATGCGTCGAATAAATTAATTTTAATTTCGGTATTTTTATCCGTGATGTTTCTGGTCATTATGACCAATCGATTGAGCACAATTCCGCTCAATCGCCCGAACGCGAACGCGCATTAATGCATAAATACAACGTAGCGAGTTCCACCGTTCTACGTGGAGTGATTCTCCTGAAAAAAAGAAGAAAAAAAAATTCCAACAGATTGCATAACGATTCTTCGCATGACGAGAATGAGGATCCGGGAAAATAAAATATATGAACAGTCGGTTTTTTTTTTTTTTTATTCACGATTATCACGGCAACATCGTTAACTCTCGCTACGCCGAGCAGCGGGACTCGCGATCCGTGTAACATCAAAGGCCATCGGTGACTTCTCGTAACAGACGCCGACAACTCGGGTTTCTCAAAGAGCGCGCCCGGGCTCGCCGCCTCTCAGCCATGTTTATTTCGTTAATGAGCGAGCGGGCGGATGGGCAGATTAATGAGGCCGTGCCTCGCGGCTGACGCCACGACGCATCGAATATCGACGAGGACGATCGACGAGATACACGACGGTGGCGAATAGATGGTGGGTAGATACACGCGATCTGTTCTCCACAACTCTAGCCAGCGACGTCCTTTCGCCCCCGTGCGCTCGACGTCGACGCGAATCGCTCGGCTGTCGTGAGTTACGAGGGCTTGGAAATGAACACATCCACTACCGGGCCCTGCTTCTGGTTAACGGCCTGGCCGCATAACACGGCGTTAACCAACGCCGAGGATCACTCGCGGTGATCACTCGCGATCCTCGATAACACGGTACATCGCACAATACGATACGATTCGGGAGGCATATGGAGCAATGGAAATAGCAATGCGTTATAACCGGTCGGAGAGCCCTGGAAACGCGATTTCCGAAAATTCGATTCAGCGCGCGAGGCAAACGATCCGAAAATCGAGGCTAATTGGAGTTCCCAAAGAGATTCCGAATCTCGAACGGCTATACCGAGGCTAATTTGATGAGTATCCTTAAAGGGCGCGCGTCCTTAGGTACACCGTCCCCCTAGTTTAAAAGCAACCCTCTCTAATATCTCAGCGGCGCGCGGTAATCTATTAAATCACTCCTCAAACAATAATTCGGCACAAACAAGCCGAATGACGCTTACCTTCTTCAGATCCTTACTGGCATCGGCGTCCTCGGCCTTTCGCTTCTCGGTGATCTTCGGCGCGGGCACCGCGACCGTCGCCTCCCGCAACGGCTTTAGGTCGACCTGCAAATAAAAATAAGCGAACTTCATGCCTTATTCCATAGGCTTCCTCCCGTTCATATCAGACCGGCTGATATAACACGGTGTTGACGGTGACCTTAATTTTCTCAAATGTCATCAGCCGCTTTTAATCGTCGAGACCGCGAGAGTGAATCGCGATGGATTATAACGGCCCGCGGGTTGTCCGTCGGATACAATGGATAGACAAGGCATCACTGGCCATTGTGCATCCGGATGTTGCCGTTGATGTTGCCGCAGGCGCAAGAGGCACGGGCACGCGGCAAAGGCACGGGATGGCATCGATTTATGGTAATTCGGTTAACTCGTTTCTATTTTACGCGCGCGTTTACGTTCCACATACTAATCCGGCGTTAATGGGACGAGTAAATACAGAGGGCAGTCCCCCCCCTCCTCTTCCCCCACGAGTTTGGGGGGGAGGCTTGATTTGGCGCTTGATAATTCGACACCGTCACGCCCGCTCGGTAATGACCGTCCTTCCACGTCCATCGAAATTTCGCGAAAGGACAGGCGGGAGGACGGACGGAAGGACAATCAATCGATCGGGGATTTACATCAAGTCTTAATCATTGGCGCCGCGGATATTAACTTACGGGCGAATCGTATGGGCTCCGTTGCTTTTCGAGATCCGTCGCGAATGTTGAAAGAGCACGGTTCGGGCAACGCCTGAATTATAGTGAGCGTTTCGCGCTTCCGTTTACGTTTTAGCGTATATAATTTAGCTTTCCTAATTAACTTAAACGACGAACGTGAAGTATGCTTCCTTCCCCGGCTCCACTTTCCTACGCTTCCTGCATTTAAAGCGAAACAAGACGAATACTCCGGGCACGGCACGGAAGAAAAGGGGGAAACAAAAAGATCGTAAGGTAATTGCAGAAAGTGCAGCTAAAAAACTGAAAAAGACTTATAGTGGTACGTGGGGGAATTTTAAAATCCAAGATACCCTCCGATGTCCTCCGGAAATGTAGATGCAGTTCAACTGAGGGTTAACACAATTACGCAATCGCGTGTCTCACCATTTGCATAACGAGGAATTAACGGGATTATGTCGCACGTCCTATTAGCCGTCCGTAATCCTGTCACCGAGAGATATCTGGATTACAAACTTCTGCAATTCTGCATTTCAAATATGAGGCGCGACTCTGCGGAAAAAAGAAATGAAGGAGGAGGAAGAAAAAAAAATAATGATCGGAATCGAAGGGAAATGCGGGAGATGAAGTGAAAAGCGAATATTTCAAGCGAGAGGTGTACTTGGAAAGTTGAATATGTCACGGATATCCAAACGGCCATTTCGCCGCGGTATTATCGGTATCGCGGTCCGCCGAGTTCTGCGGCCTACCCGCAGAAATTCGCTGCGAATGCTGTGAATCGAAAGCGATTTTCGTGCGCGTACATCAACATCAGCGCGCGGTCGACAAATGGTGAACGCGCGAATCCGGACAGTCAGTCGGACGAATTATGGTCCGGCACGGTCCGGCATATCGAATCGAAATCGAAAGACCGATCGGACACGCGGGTGTCGTTCCGCAAAACGTATCGCCGCACATTCGATGCGAATGAGGCCTTAGGGTCACTAGGGTCGCCCCTGACAACGCCCTTGCCTGCATTGCGGTAGCTCTTTCTCTCTACCCTGGCGATATCCTTCCACCATAACGCCCGGGGAAAAATATCCTACGAAAAAGGAAATCAACTTTAACACATTCTTGGCGCGATTTCGCGAATAATACGATTAAGCGATCCCGCCGAAATCATGAAGTTTCAGTGAAGAGCGGAAATAAAAAAAGATAATGCTTCTCTATAATCTTGCTCAATGTCGAGACGCGAACGCTTTCAAAAGTAATTTATGCTCATCTGCATGTCTCTTTCGCGGATTTTGATTGCGGAATTGGCTTAGGCCGCGCCACAATCCGTCTCCCTTAAAATAGCTAAAAACGCAGCAACAAAACTCGAGAGTCCCGTTTTCTACGATACATGACTGTGACCACGTCTGTAAATGGTAAACCGTGTGTGTGTGTGTGTGT